AATTTTTTTTTTTTTTTTTTTTGTATACAATAAAAAAAGTTTTTTGTATATTCAGTTATGTATAACAGATATAATATGTTTTTATTTTCGAGTTAAAATAATATTTTTATATCAATTGATGAACGATTTCGTCAAAACAGAAAACTGCATGCAACAAATAAAGAATATTTTAATATAAATAATAATAATTTTTTTTTTTTCTTTCTTAAAACAAATACAAATATTAAAGTAAATTTTATAAAGAAAATTATTTAAACCATAAGAGGTAAAGTCGTAAAGTCGATGACCGTACTCCTATACAGAATAATTTCCCGATAATTTTGTAAAAATCATACAATGGGTCACATGATAATATCGTTGTTAAATATAATTTTATCAGTTAACCAAAATCTACAAAATCTAGCATTCTGATTGGTACGTGGCCAAATCTGTGATATTAATTGATAATAATATACATGTAATTATTGTGAGGTAATTACCGAAAGAAATTATTAACTTTTAACATAGAATCGTAAATGGAAAACAAAATATATACAATTAAACGTGCTGTTATAACAATTGACCTTATCTTAATAAAAAATATGTACAAATAGTAAAATACGCCTATCATTTCTGGTTAAGTACTAAATAATTGTAATCCTATTATATATTTTTTCAATGAAAAATCATCCTTTCCTTTAAATTCCTATTTTATCATTTAAACAACACATACAACATAAATACAAACTGCAAATACATCAAATACATCATATAACAACATATAATATATATTCTGATTTTTTTCAATTGAAAAATTTTTCTTATCTTAAAGTTTTCAATTAATCCCTTCGTAATAAAATAAATTTTCCTAAACAAACAACTTTTTTTTCTTGTTATTCCGAAATAAACGATAATAAACGTTAATTAATTTTGATGACAAAAATCATTCCCAAAATTAGGTAATAAAAAGAGTAATAATATTCCACAAACAAATTTTTGTTTATCTCTTTATATCTAGAGAAAAAAATTTTAACTTTGCCTAATCAGGTGATGTGAGATTTATTATTGTGTGAATCGTTGATCGACTTGATCGTTCCTGAGTCAACCATGTTTCCATGATGATCGGACTATATCTTCATCCTTCTATGAGTTTTCTGAGTCACATTTTTTATATTAATCCTATTTTTTTTTCGTAACACAATATTATTTTACACGAATTACAATTTACATCACTTTCGTATCGTTTGGCTGAAAAGTCTGAAACAAATAAATAAAAGTAGATCCTAATTATTTGGGGAGGACTACATTTATTTTAAATTTAAGCCATGATCTGCTTATTTTTTATTCTATTTTATTTATTGTTTTCTTTTTTACCTTTTTTTACCTTTTTTTTACCTTCTTTCCCCCATATTAGTTCCACGACAGTTCCAGGATAGTTTCAGGCGAGTTTCTATAAATCACGAGACGATCGTCCAATGAGATTCCGCCTCCTTAATCTTAGCTAAGCCACCATTATAATTATTATATTTGATCAGTCTAACACATCACTCTTTTCTCTCTATATATATATATATATATATATATATAAAACAGGCGAGTGGGCAGATTCTCAGACTCGTCTTCTCATTAACGAACGAAAACAAAGAAATCTTCGAATACCATATTACTCCAAATAAGAAGAAACGCTTTTATTGGGATGATATTCCTAGAATAATAAATGAACGAATTAAGAAATTGAGTCTTACAAAAGCATTTTATGTAAGTATTACCCTTTGGTTATTAAGGCGATCGGTCTCTATGAAAAATTACTAAATAACACTATTATTTTTAGACCGCGAAGAAATATAGAGAAGGAAGAGAAGTTTAGTTGGAGAAAAGTTCTCCAGGTAAATATGTTTCTGGGAAATTAAGTGGGTGGTTCTCTCAAAATTAACATGATTTTTTTTCATGTGTTAGAACTTCCATTCGATTTTTCTGTATTATGTAATGACAATATATGATTGTTTTGTACTCGACTACTCTACTTGAGGATGTAAATCTTAACATTATTGAAATTAAGCAATCAATAACCTTCGGAGTCAACATTCTTCATTAAAATTTATCACGTATATAAATTAATAAAGTTCACACCGGTCTTTATTTTTTTAACTTGTGTATACTTGGAAATAAAAACATCCCATACAAAGTAACAATCCTCTTATTAATCTGATATATAAAAGCACATTTTATTTTTTTTCAAATGTTATAATTATTTTGAATAATACATTTTTTTTTTGTTATACAAATTCATAAGACAAAGTACTTTAAAGCAGATAGAAGAAATAACTCTATATTAGTGAAAGGTAAAAATAATGGTTTGCATTATGCTAAATATAATAGAAAAACATATTTATAATAAGCAGGGCAAAGCAACTACGTAAATGATTAAAACAAAGTTGCTGGAAGAGTTGAATTTTGTAGAATAGCCCGAAGATCTACATATGTTCCTTGCAAGCTGGAGGCACATTGTTTGCACACGTTGTTAAGTCGATAGTTACGTAGACCGGATCAATAATTGATCTGATTTTGGATGTTCGAAGACAAATTTTGACAAGTCTTCGCTGATACTACCAAAGGCACTCGCGCCCGAAAAGTTCTCTCCGATACCGTCAATTCCTATTCTTCCTGCTAGTAATTCAGCTAGTGGCATGACATCTTGCTCCGTCCAGTCAGAGACTGATTTTCTTTTAAGAGTACGGACTGGCTCTAAAAGTTCCTTTCCTGGAATTCCGAGTTCAAAAAAAATATTCAACTTTACTTATTAAGACAGAAAATAATATTATACCTGGTAATGGGACGAGATTTATTTCAGCATTACAAACATAAAAGTTTTTTTTATACATTCATTAGCCGAAATTTTCTCAGACGTATCAATCAACCTAACAACAAAGATTAGTTAATATATGGGAAGAGATGGTATTCAAAAAAAAAATTAGAACTGCATTACTTAGTTTTTTTAGTCTCACGCTTTACAGTTCTTTTTTGAGACATTTTATATAGTTAGAGAGAGTTGAGAAAAAGTTGAATCGTATCTTAGTTTTACGTGGCTTATATTTATATTTATCACTTGATCACATCATCTAATATATTACCTGTTACACGAGTGGGTCAAAATGAGTAATACGAAAAGTTACCAAAAAAGTATAGCATGCGACCAGTGAAAGTAAATGTAATTAATAAAAAGAATTTTTCCAACTATCACCGGAGGTGATGATCACCGGTGACTGAAATTATGATGATCGACCAGCATTAAAAAAATATAGTGCTGGTAAAAATTGATAATTCTGGCCAACGGTGATGATCACCCCCAGTGATTTGAAGTAAAAATCTAATAATAAAAGAATAAATTAATAAATATTAATAAATATTAATGTCACTTTCAAAATACACAACACGTTTAAAAAAATTCAAAGTAAAATCTTTAATATATTTTTGTAAAGTAATACATGAGAAAGGGGCCGGACGGATAAGTAAAAAATGAAACTAATAAAAGATATTGGAGTAAAAGGGAGGAATAAATCACGAAATGAAATAATATCATGCTTTCCGCCGGCCCCCTAAACCATAATACGATGGTTCCTTCTCACTACTCCGCACTATTAACATTATTATCACTATTGCGAATTATACTGCTACTACTACTGCTACTACTGCTACTATTGGAAAAACCTTTTCAACTTATTCGATAATTTTATCCATAAGTTCTTCTTGGTGATTTTTGATGACGATAGAAACTAGCTGATGTGCTAGCACTAAGACCAATTTCGATTGATAAAATATTGTATAATTGCGTTGGAGAATGACTTTCCCTTTTCCTCATATTATTAAAAAGGGCCATAAACTTGATGCAATTCATTTTTTTTCATAAATAATATATACCCGATATGTTTTGTATTCATCTGTATAGGAAATTTGCTTTCAGCAAAAAAATCTAGAATGAACTCTGAACTTTTTCAACGTATAATGTTTTTAAAAAGAAATACAATTAAAGTTAATAGTATTTGCCCAGACCTGGTTTTATATGTTTTGTCCGGCGCAGGCTTTTAGTTGCTGATAGTTAAATATTTACTCAAAATATTGTCTCGTGGAAACGTGACTTGTGAAAGAAAATCAGTTTTATCCTGCTAGAAAAGAATAAGGCGCAGCATAACACAGATAAGTGTATATATGCATGACGTATATAATTTTTTACTCATTACTTAATGTTTTTCGAGATTATTATCTCGTGATCCCATTAGATATTTGCGAAAAAAAAAGATAGCGATGGCAAAGATTATATAAATGTTTATATTTCCTGAAAAAATGCTCTGGATCATTTCCATAGTTAGGACACCATGGGTCAGCATCTCGAAAAAAACAATTGTGACGCCGAAGACTGCGATCAAAAAAATACCCGAGTTTGAGAACATTTTTTTTTTGATAGATTTTGTTTTATTAGTTTTATGTGAAATTGATATTTTTTTTTACTTGTTGGAGGAAAAGAAATACAAAAGCGTTTCTCTAGAAATAATCCTTTTATATGTTTTACAATCGCCTGGTAAAATAATATCCATATACACTAGCATAGAAAATCCGCGTCAAAATATGGATTTGGGACATTTGCTGTGCATTTTATGATAGTTATAAATAGTTTATAGCCGATTTTAGCGATTCTTTATCAACTTATACTTACATAATGTTGGATTCATTTTTATTCGGATTATGAAGTCACATTTAATAAATTAATTCTCATGTCTACAAATATTCTCCTTTATTGTTAAAATATTCAATATATATGTTATCAATATAATATCCTTCCATTTATAATCTTTCCTTCACATTTGATTAAACGGAGATATAATCGAACTTTTATATGAAAATACGGACGTTTTTTATATTTATAATAGTTGGTTTTTCCTCGAGTAAGAGATCTTTAAACCAAAGCATAATATCTATCATGCTTCGGGGTCACGATTTTTACGTTCTTTGATCCCGGTAAACAGCCATAGGTTTTGCTTTTATGCAATCACTATAGTCATAATCATGCTTCGGCGGATTTTGTTTTGTTGTTGGTCTTAAAGGCATGATGTTCGGTTCCCCTAACATTTGCTGACATGCTAAAAGCGCAGAATCCAACGCTCCCAAAATCCAAGTGTGATGAACGCTCAAATGCTCGCCGGCAAAATAGACATTTCCTTCTGGAGCTCTTGCAATATTAAACAAGTTACGAAACTGGCCTGGAAAAAACATAGCGTCTCCTGTTGATTCTTCATCTGTCCAGTTAATTGAATATCCTTCAATAAACTGATCGTCTATGTCGACCTGATCACCATAGACTTTCTTCAAATCACGTAAACCTAAGCAAATACGCTCTTTTTCATTTTTAGGTAAAAAAGCGATAGCATCTGTCATCCACGCATACAATAACAATACGCCGGGTCCGTTATCACCAATACCATAGGATGGATATACAAACCAACGTGACGGCAGATCGGTTATGCTTTGGCCTCCTTTGGACGGTGGGCTCACTTTTTCCCAGAAGCGCGTTTTAAATCTTAAACCAATTTTATATAGCGGTTCAAAATGAAGGGCGCGTATCGCATGCATTTTATCGGGGGACCATGTTGGCGTCTCAATGGTCCGTAATGCTGCGGGAGGCAACGCCATAAGGACTTTATCGAATTTTACCGGTGCGGATGATTCCGAGTGATAAATATTTACGCCGTCAGATACATCTTCAATTTTATAAACTTCAGCCCCCGTAAAAATATTCTCAGAACCAATTAACTGGGCGCATCCATGCGGTAAACGCTCCATTCCATTTTCTATTGTTTTCCAGCTTGCCTGCGAGAAATCCATATTCTCAATAACCAGTTCAGTAAAACTGTTTTGGAATTGGTTTGTCTGAGACGTCATAACTTCGACATAATTGATTCTATCTTCGTCCCATTCTGCAACTTGCACAAGGTATGCACGGAAAGAAAAATCGTCAAACTTGATAATTTCCTGAAACCCCTTGGCAAAATCTTTTTTTAGCGCATCCAAATATGGCCATATAACTTCTCGTATATGAGTTGATTTGCCGTCTTGTTGCATTCTATAGCCTTAGAAGAAAAGCCCAGTTTATCCGGATTGGCATTTGCATAAGAAACACTCATTGTTTTGCCATCCGGGCCAAACTTATTGTTTATCAAAACCAGATTGCCCTTATCATCGTAAAGCACGTAAGGAATGGTTTTAATGCAGGATTCCCCCGGAAGTTTTTCATTAAGATAGTCAATAAGATCAAAGACCGGTTGTTGCTCAGAGGTCTCCGGCAAACGCATGGCGCCTGCTTCAAAATACTGATTGGGCTCCTGTGTAAAACGGTGCGTATATACACGCCCGCCTAAGCGCTGACGCGTGTTTTTTTCAAAAATAGATACCTTTGCTCCATGAGACTGCAAAATTAAAGCGGCATACAGGCCGGACATTCCGCCACCTACAATGCCTACATTAAGTTCCTTGGGTGGAATTTTGGGATGATTGCCCGGTTCGGTTCTCTCAACCGGATTCTGTAATTTAAGCCATTGCTCATACGCGGCTCTTAAGCTGGGTTTTCCCGGAGGAACATCGGAAAACATGTGAGATGACATTGAAAATCCTTTCAGACTTTTAAGGGTATATTTATAATAAAATGGGTTACACAGGTCATCAAATTATCCATTAACGATAAGTTTAATGAATAAGTAAATATATGATAGTAAAAAATAAAAAATAATTAACTTGTTGTATGTTAAGACCTTAAAAACTCGAATCGAAAAAAATCAAATTGACCCCTTTTTATTGCCCTTCTTGAGCATATAGTAAAGTAGTACGCCATATAAAATACCAAAAACGTCTGATATGTTGAGCCCGTTTTGGGCATTTTTCTTTTTTCATAGGGACGATACGCCGATACAAATTAGGCCTTCAAAGAAAATTTCACTTTAATATTTCGCTTATGGTTATATTTGTATTATGTTTAAAAGATATGTTTAATTTTCTCATGATAAATGCTGGCGTAACTACATGCATCATGAATATGTTAAATAAATGAGACCCAATAAAAACATTCAGATGATGGTAACTATTTTTTTCAAGTATAAAACTCATCCCTGCATATCATCACAAAAAATTCGCATGATATACTTATGTTAATCAGTTTGTGCATATACGAACTTCTATGATGACAATCATTTTGCAATGGCGATTATAATGATAAATTTTTATTTTTCCAGGTCACACGAATGTATCAACTGACCGCAATTCAGTTTACACAGTGTTTACACGCATAATGACGCCCAGTAAAAAGTCATTGTATAAAATTTATATAGTTGTTAAATTTAGATAACTTTTATTTTTTTGTAAAAATTAAACGTATAATTATTGTAAGATTTATGAAAGATTAACCTGTCTTAATAAATTTCGTGATTATGGGCGAATAAATCTAAATTCAAATGTTTATAAATCTAAATAAAGTCTAAGTCGTGGCGTTAATTATTAAGAAAAAAAATTTGTTTTTGTTAGTTTATTAAGTAAACAACATTTATTATAATTCATACAACATCGCTTCCTTACTATTTTACACACTCAAGCTGCAATTTATTTCTTCTTCTACCAACCACTAAAAACTAGAAAAAAAAGTATATTTAATTCACACTTTTACTTTTTTCCAATCCATATTCTTTTTTTTTTTTGTAATGCGTATACATGAATCTAGAAGAATAATCCAATAAATCGCGTTGTTATTCTTTCTTTTTTTCTTTATATTTTTGTTGATTACTTAATTCTTCGATAAAAAGAAAATTTGCAATTTTTTCTTTTATATATAACAGTTGTTTATTTTTATAAATTTCGCGTCGTATACATTATATTGTAATGTGTAAAATTTTTTTATTTTTGAAATAATGAAGAGAGTAGTACACGTGAGTACATGAGTACATGATCTTATGTATCACGTACTCGTAATCACAGCTGCGTTGTAGTTGTAACAACTAACTATATAATCCTTGGAACCTATATATCTGCTATCCTTATTTTTTTTTTGTATTGATTTCGTAAAATTAACAAATTATCGTCCTTCCTTTTTTTCTACACGTTCATTAATTCGAGTTACTTCATCAAAATCAACATACACATGGGATGCCCTTCAGGTATGTAGTTTGGATTACTCAAACACGAAGAGTTACCAAATGCATCATGAAAATTACTGTCGGTAACGAGAATGTTCCAAAAAATATACCAACACATGACCATGTTACTCTTACTTTATATCAGATATGGCTGTAAAGAAAGTGTAAGTAACCATTGACAATTTGTTCTTGGATTTTTTTTGGTGTCATATTCATCATATCCTGAATCATTCATATTTTCTTCGAGAAATGGTTTAACGTGTCCCGTAAACCATTTCTTAAGATCATTTGGTCGTTCTTCTGTTATCATTGGATATCCCATTTTTCAACGAGAATTGTAACTAATAAGATAAAATACTAAACAAAAAAGGCGCAGAAATACAACTAACTTTTTCATTGCTAGTGAGATGATACAAGAAATAACATATAAAACTGTGCCCAGAAAACTGAAATTATGATGTATTTTTTTTTATGCAATTTGATTCACAAGTATATATTTACCAATAAAGAAATGCACGTTGCCAATAAAATAAAATTTTATTTCACTATTTTTAAATATTAAATACAGTATTAAATTATATATTTTTTACAAAATTTTTATTATCTGATATAAAACATTTTAACAGCTGTATACAAGGAAAAAAAAGTGCGAGAATTTTCTAAGGTAATAATGATGTGATAAAAATAATAAACTATTTTCATCACGGTATCAAGAAATACTGTATACATAATTTTGTGTTACGCTTTAGTCCATCAGCCCATCGAGGAAAATACATATTTAGGTTTGTCTAATCAAGGAGTATATCTGTATATCTCAAATCTACATCTTGCGAGATGGTTAAATGAGAAAATTCTAAATTTAGCAAATTTAGCTACGTGAAATTTCTAGTTTCGTCAGAATAGCTCAAAAATGGACCAACCGCAAAACAGTTTCGCCGAAACATTAGCACAGAAGTAAATAATTTGTAATTATATTCAGGAAAAAAACCAATAGCGCAAATTAATAATATTGAGTTCTATTGAAAATTTTAAATAGGACTAAATATAGGCTTTTAACAATCAAATCACTCTCATTTGAGGTATGCATTGTGTAATGATTGTATAACCACGTGTAACATAAACGGTTGATCCACAGTTCGAACTAATCTTTAAATATACTAATTAAAGTTTTTACAATCAAATCAGTCTCATTAGTTGTACTTCTGTTACAGCGATTAACTACGTGTAAACATAAATGGTGTGAAATTTATGGTCATATTATGAATGTAAATCATTCCATCCACAAACAATGTGTCCAACTTATATTACATAATGTAAAAAAAAGATGTTAACTTTAATATTTTAGTCTCGTTCAATAGTATAAAAACGGAATATAAATGAATTCAATGAAACACTATTTAAGTAACTAATGAATGTACAGAACTATTTGAGCAATTTAAATAATGGTGTTTAGGTGATATTCAAGAAATTTATGCCGCAGTAATAATCTGGACTTTATCATCATTATCTTTATCTTCTTCTAATAATATATTTAAAAATTTCGTATCAAGATAATATTCCTCAAGCAAATTTTCGATACTTTGAATACGTTCTTCTAAAGTAACATTTTTAGCTCTTCCACTAACGAATGGAATTGGTTTGTATTTGCTTTTAAGTTTCTTTACAAGTTTTTTTTGATATTTTATACATAAGCAATTAAACACATACGTTTGCAAAAATCCCCTATAGAAGAAATAAGGTATTATGAATATAAATGTATTTACGAATTATATATAGTAATTATTTCGCTCACCATGGTGCTAATTTAGATGCTCCAAATAAAAATATGAAGATTCCAGATAAAGAACTGAAGAAACCACCAATATCCGACATAACTGAACCAACTAAAAAAAAATGATAAATATTTTATTAATATTTGAAATTAGAATCATTTTTCTAGAATTTAAAAAAAAAAAACTAATAATTACGATCATTATAAGTTTCTTCTTGGTAATAAATATCCGTTGACATTTGGATTAATGTAAGACTTATTGTATTTGTAGTAGTTGCCGAAGGTGTTTTAGTAGCAGTACGTACATTAAAGTTGACATATTGATCATTATTAAAGTCTGTTTTAATAATTGGTGAATAATATACGATCATAGTTTGTTCCTTCATAATATTTATAAGATAATTAGGATAATTAGAAGCACTCTCTGATGGATAATATTTATCTAATTCAAATCCACCTAAATAAATTTCAGGGATGGTATTCTTAGGAGTTATTTTTATAGTTGTACTTAACACTCCTGAAGAACTATGGTTGAAAGAATAGTGAAGATTGTTATCATTAGGAACTTTATATTTCCTACATTCACCTTTATCGTTGTTATTGTTTATGTAATTACAATTTGCAATTTCACCCCGAACGCTTATAATAATACTAATGTTAGTATTTATAAATTCATCAACATTTAGTTTATAGAAATTAATATTGGGATTAGAAATCGATACATAATATTGTGAAAATTGATTATAAGTATAGTAAAGAAGTATGAGAATAAATGAAAGAGAGCATAATTTCTTTAAGAAAATAAAAGAATAAGGTTCAGTTGATCGTTTACTTTCTGTGAATATCATTTTGAACTAAAATAAAAAACTTAAGACACTTGCTGCTATATAAATAATTGTGATTATGTGATATGTGATATCGTCGAGTTATTTATATTACAGTATATAAAGAATACAATTCTTATTCTTGAGGTGCACATTTTTTAAACATGAACGTTGGAAAATTTTTAGAATTTTTATTTATTTTTATAATGATTTCCGAAATTCTCTTTCTTCTTATTTATTCTTATTTTCATTTATATTTTAATTTTTCATTATGGTTTACATTTCCATTCGTTTTTTTAAGTGGATTTACTGCGATCTATAATAAAACTATGATACATTATATAGCATTTTTAATCATAAACCTTGCTCCATTTATATTAATGATTTGTAATATCTTTATATTTGATTATAATTATGGTAAATATTTTTTATAACTGCATAAATATCAAGTTTTAATTAAAAAAAAAAAGTATTATTAATTTATAATTTTTTGCATGATAAGCTCTTACTTCTAGCGGTTTAAACGAATTAACTAATGGAACAAATATAAATGCATATAACTATTATATATCTATATACAAACCTGTAGTGATAACTTTGGGAATTTTTCAATTTATTTTTATAATAATTTGTATTTTATTATTTAAGGAGTATAAAAACGAGAAAAGTATGTTTATTTTTATAAATTACTAGTCTTTTTAATTCTATTGTTATACTAATTAGTTCTATTACTAGACATCTATATTATATATCAACTTGAAAAGTTTTTACTTCCAATTACGACCTCGTTTTTTGGAATTTGGATATTGATTTCAGAAATATATGAGATTTTTAAAATTCGTGAAATACCAAATTATTATAATAAAGGTTTTCCTGAAAACATTATCGATATATTTTGTAATATATTTGGGATCATCACAATTATTCCAATTTCAATGGTTTTTGTAGCGATGCGAAAACGTTCAAAAAGTCTTTATATTTTATTTTATATTGCAAGTCTAATTGAAATAGTAATAATACTTTTTAGACTAGTATGGAGTTTTCGCCTAAATTATTATTTTTATTATTATCCACAACTGGATTATGGTAATTTATAACTTTTAAGCAGTTTTTTTTCAATTATAATTATACTAAATAAATTATACTGACTAATATATTAAAGATATCCTGCACTCAATTGAATTTTTCATTGAAATCATTGAAAATGATATTCAATATAGAGAGAGATTTTTTATTGGTAAATAAATTCTATTAAATTGTTCTTATTAAATAATTAAAATTAATATATTAACAAATTGTTATTATACATTTATTAGGTATATCCACCCTGATTTTTATAGTAATTTTATTTCTTAACACATGCTTATGTCATAAATGGATTAATAAAAATTTTATTAAACATAGTAAGTAAAAACATTTTATAATAATAATTATTATTTATGTACGCTAACTTATTTATTTATTTTAGTATATAGATCAGAGATTCTGCTACAAAGAATTGGAGAGCTCGAGTTCTTGAAGAAACCTTATAAGAAAATTTTAAAATTTTTAGGAAAAGAGTCCTTAAAAACCGATGAATGGAAATTTGTACCTGAATCAAGAATTTTATTATTAAATATTGTACAGATTATGCCCTACGATGACAATGATGATAAAAAAGATGAAGATATTGTAAGCGATGAAAATAATAAAAATTTTGAGGTTATAGGCGTTGAAAAAGTTGTTTTTAACGCTAAATCAGATATTATGATACAAACAAATTGTCCTTTACCTGGTATATCACAAGCAGACTGGTTTCATTACTATGAAATAACAATCTTGTCAAACCCGAATAATGATGAAACAATAATTGCAATCGGTCTTGCACCAAAAAATTTTCCGACTAATAGGTACGTATTTTTATATAATAATTTAAGGTTTTATTTAAGCGATTACTATTAATTTTCTTTCATTTAAGATTACCCGGATGCAATACAGATTCTATTGGATTTCATTCAGATGAGGGTAGAATATTTCGCAATGAAAAGTATACAGGATCAACATATGCCGAAAAATGGGGAAAAGTGAATGATGTGATAGGTTGTGGCTATTATCCAAATAATAGACAAGTTTTCTTCACAATAAATGGTGAAAATTTGGGTATTGCTTATACCGGTTTGCTTCATAATATATTGTATCCTACAATTGGTTCTAACGGACATTGTATTTTAAAAGTTAATTTTGGTCCAGAATTTGAGTATAAAGAAGCTAATATTATGAGTGTTGCTTCTAAAAAGTTATTGAATGCTTCTAAAAAGTTATTGAATGAGAATGAGATTCCTTAAATCATTTATATTATCATTATTATTATTATAATGTCTCAATTAACCCTATAAGTTTGATTTATTCTTAATTAGAATTTTACTTTTATTTTTATTTTTATTTTTTTATTATTAAATAAATATATTTTATTCTTCTTACAATCTAAAAAAATTGATGATAGTTGATAATGGGTTAATAATAGTTATATAATATAAAGAATCTAATAAATGATGAGAAATATTATTGCAGGTATTTTACATATATTATATGATTTTGCTTAATTATCATAATGTAAAATCATAATTTATTGACAATAATGTAAAAGATTGAAGAGTAATGTTTGATTTCTGAATTATATATTTTTTCATCTTTTTTTAATGATAACTTTTATACCTCAAAATATCAAAGAAAACTTGTAAAGAAACTTTAAAGCGAGTAAAATAAACCAATTCCATTGGAAAAACATGTTTACTAGGTATCTAAAATTTTCTTAAAGGATATTATAATACATTTTTTTTAAAAAAAATTTATTATAGGAAATAAAGGTTGTGATAAAATCTTCGTTTCTGCGATATAAATTTCTTGAATAGGGTGTCTCTGAAAGTTCACATGATTTGACATACCAAGTGTTTGATATATTTCATATTAATGCTAACTAAGGTTGCTGGAGAAACTAGGGGGTTTTGGCAAGTTGGTGAAATGCCAAAATAGCAAAACTTTGCCGAAACTATATAAAAGTCTTATTAAAAAGTTGGCGAAACTCTGAAGAAAAGCGAAACCTGATAAAACTTATTATAAATGCTGAAACTGCCAAAACCTTGCCAAAACTATAATAAAACTATAGTAAAATCTTGGAGAAACTAATCGTAAAATTTTGGAGAGGTTTAGGTAGGCAACCTTAATGCTAACAAAAAAAAAGTATTAAAGCAAAAGCTTCAAAACTTACCATTTGGAAAATGGAAAAACTAATAAAAATATATGTGAAGTATATGTTACACTGCTACAGTATTAAATATTGCAATATAAATTATAATATTTTATTAATGGAAACATTTTAATTAGACTATTAATAATATAGAATAAAAAATTATATAATAAATAAAAAAATAATTAATATATATAACTGTGGTGTTAAACATCAATGATATAATTTATAATTTTTGTAAAAATAAAATTAAAAGAGTTTTTAATATATGGGCAAACTTGTAGCAAAAGGGAGGGCTTGGCCAAAAATTTTTTTTTGAAATTTTATTTTAATTATATATTACTTTATTTAACCTTTCAGAAAAAAAAATTTTGTTTATAATATATTAATAAAAAAATTTTTTATTTAAGAATTTGCAAATTTTGTATTTTTCTATTATTGCATTTAATAAATAATATAGATGTTTTAGAAAAAAAACTAATGCTTTTAATGAATTCCTTGCAAAATTTTACCCTAGTTTGCAAAAAATTGATTTTAAAAATCTTTAAAAATGATGGAATAAATTATAATTTATTAAATTATTTATTTATTTTATTACTAGAAGAGTAATTTATTAAATTAACCAATATAGTAATATTAAAGTTTGATTTTTTTTGAAATCACGTGATTGTCCAAGCTCCACCTTTTGCTATAAGTCCGCCCATATATATAATATATGAATTTTTTGTTAGAAGCTAATATAAAAATATTTTTTTACATTTTTCTTGACCATATTACCTTAGGCTGGTTAAACAAAATTTTTAGAAAAGTTTTCAAGTGCAATAGAATTATGGAAATCAAATCTTTCAATTTATATATTGTGTTATTGTGGACCGCAGTAATTTTAATTAAATATTGTACTGCGCCACAAAATTAATAACATTCTTATATGATTTTGAAATAAATTGGGGATTATCAATTTAGAAAACAGCAATGAATTTAAGGTAATAATAACTAATATAATTAAAGTTATATTAAAAAAATTATGATTACTTAAATTTATTCATCTTTTTTTTTATAGAGCTTTTGCTGATTTCGTCTCTATTGGCTAAGAAAATTTCAACCAGTACAGTTCACCCTCACTTTAGTGATTCCCATAAGCTGGAGATTAAAATTTGTTATAGTGATAAATTCACTATACTGAGGGTCATTTTATTATATATAAAGAAAATCTGTACCTGAATTTTTCTTCATTATAACAAGTTATTCACTTATAAAAATTCGCTAGAACTATAATTAATTTTCTGTATAATAGGAGTTCAAATTATTTAAAATATTTTCAAAATTTAAAAATTATAATCATTTTTTCACGAGTTAAGAATTCAAAAAGAAGTAACATTAAAAGTAATTATCATATAATTAAATGAAAAATCTTTACTGGTACTCTATTATTTTTAAAAAATGCAAGTGAATATTAAATAATATTATTATGAGTAAATAATTGTTTTCTTCTTCCTCCTGTTCTTTTTCCTATTCTCTTTCTCTAATTCCTCCATCCACTTCTTCTTTTCTAAATCTTCCTTCAGCTATACGAAAAATATTAAGAATAATAATCCAAATTATAAAATGTCGGATATAGTTCAAAGAATATAAAGTTCGAATTATAAATTATGGTTACCTTTCATTTTTAAACTCCTCCTTAACGGGAGGTATGACGAGCTAGGATAAAGTGCATTAAGTGCATTTATATCATAAGGCACTTAACTTTACACGTTGGCCTGAATTGCGGAAAGATGTTTTTTATTAGACGAAGCTGACTGTATGAAACAAATCGAAAGAAGTCATATACAAACCAATAGCATTTGTTCTTTCCGTCCCCGGCTTCGCTTGTATACGTCGTCCTCCGGAATAACATCCAAGGGATAATGCATGATTGATTCTGGGTCATACAGACCAAAACAAACCACATCCATCTCACACACTTTTCCAAAATTTCTTTAGCAGTAACGGTCCAATAATTGTCACGGTCTGGACGACAGTGTTCATGATAGAACCCGAGCGCGTACATCATTTCGTGCACAATATTACCCTCGGGATGTAGATAATTTTGCAAGTCATAATTCCTTTATAATTGTGAAATGGGATGAGAGAGAGATAACGAGTTTGAATTATAAACGAATATGGTAAGTACCTGGTCTTTTCCTTGCCTACCAATACACCTTATCAACGATTTACGTAATCTGACTGATCCGTTTTTTATCACGAATTTTACTGAGACGTTTTCATTGCGTATAACACAATGAGTTCAAATTCCAAGGACACATTGTTGCCGAATTCATATGGAACTATTCCGTTCGGCCACAGGTTTGTTCGTTTTTTGATACAGACATCAGAACATGGTTTACGCATATTCTCTTTATAATAAAAGATAGGTCCATTTGGCAGTATAAGCGACTGATGGTCGTTCCATTCTTCCACGTTGAGATTGTTGTGCTTGTTGGGTAGCTTTTCTCTTGAACAATATCATGAGTTTGACCCATAAAGCGTTCTTCATACGAATTAAACGCTTCTCTTCTGCGCGTAAAGTAGATTCTTCTTTTTTGTTGTTTGAGTTGTTTACTAATGTTTCCAATATTTCCTATATTAGCAACATCGTCATTTCTTCCACGTTGAGCACGTTGAGATTGTTGTGTTTGTTGGGCAACTTTTTGAGATAGTTATTTGCAAATAAATCTCTTTATAAGAAGAGATAAGTTCCATTTTTGTTATTTTTTTCTAAAGAATTAAAATTTTTGTACAAGAAGTTCTTTTAAGTGTTCGTAAATAAAAAAATTTTTTTTTTATTATAAAAAAAAAAAACTTTACAAAATTAGAAATTTTTTTTTTTTCGCGAATCAAATTGTTGTTTTTTTAAACCAAAAGTGTATCTTGTTTTTGTTGTTTGTTATTTGCGAGAGAATTTGTTAAGATTAAAATAATTCTGTCTCTTATACACATCTAGATGTGTATAAGAGACAGGTATTAAATTATGAAAAAATTTTTATTTTTTCAAAAACATTTCGTTCTAAAAAAAATTTTGCTCAAAAAAAATTTTTTTTGTAAAGAAAAAAGTGACATTTCCTAGGAATTTTCTGACCCTCATTATAAGAAAAAAATTTGACAATCACATTGGGCGTAAAATAAAAGGAAATGTTTCATAATTTTGAAGTTCAGAATAATTAAAATACAATATTAACGTAATTGTCGAATCAAATCTCAAAAAACATCATTATTAAATTATAAACTTCATTAAAAAAGAAGTTTTCGAATATTGTTTCTTTCTTCAAAGTGAGAACAAAAATCTAGCGGTTTCTTCCTTTTTTTTTTGATATATATAAAAATATATATCACATAAAAGGAACTTAATGGGAATTTTTGTTAAAGGAGTTTTTAAAAAAAAATTTGAAAGAAGAAGTTAAAAAACTTTAAAACTTTTTTTTTTTTGTTAAAACATGGGATTATAATTCAGTCAAATTGATATGATGACGAATTAATGCGCCAATTTACTTTTTGGGATCTAACTTCAAACCTTAATAACTGATAAGATAGCGTTATGTTAACCTGTTTTAAAACCTGTTTTCGTTTGTATGAATCACTATAACTGATAACTATAACTGCAGACTTTAATGTACACGCAGAATTCTCGCTTTTCCTTGTTCCTTGTTTCCATTATAAAAAACGAAAAAAAAAGGTTTGATTGTTGTTGTTTCGCGTATATTAAAAAAAATTATTTGTTTCGGATTACCACTTACCACGAGTTCATCGAAATCTAGATCTAATAAATTAAGATAATGTGCGAGTCGTAGAATTAATTTTTTTTTGATGCACTTAAAAAAAATATATATATATTTTTCCGGTTTATTGAATGTACAATATCACTAAATTTTTTCTTTGTCAAAAAGAAATAAAAAAAAAATTTGCTTAGCTGGCAGGTGAAATAATATTTTTCTTTACTGTACTTTTTGTTGATATTTGCGTGCTAGGTAATGATAAATAAAGAAGCAAGGACGCTAAAAAAAAAAGGTTTTTTAATGACGCCAATTAACCAAATAGTATATACGTATGTATATGTGTTATATGTATCCATTTTGTTGTTTATATGCAATAGTAATAACATCATCGAACCTGCCGACGAAGATGCTATAATAAAATATATTCATAGAATTATAATCGTTTCAAAACTTTAAAAAAAAAATATTTTAAAGCTACAGTTCCATATTATAATCAGGTTCTTTTAATAATAAACAATAGTCTTTTTATGTTATCAATATTAAACATGCTCGTATGGTCGTTAATGATTTTCTCCATTCAGAATGACCTGTTCTTGTTTCAAATTTTTCATTTTTCTTCTATCATGACCATCATGACCATCTTAATCTTTATACATATTCATTTAAAGATTGGCCCTTCAACCGGTAACGTGATTTATAATGTTTAATATTTAAATTAAAAATGTCAATCAAATACGTTTCATTTTTATTGTTTGTATCCATATTTGTTTTGTTTATTATTTTTTATCTTTGCTTTTAATGAACTAACAAAATTTGAGTTAGGTTTTTTGTTTACATCATCTTGCGCAAATGCGCAAATGGCGATGCACACCTGAAACAGTTAAATTTGATTGCCTCATTTTACAATAATTTAATTGGGTATATCTAAAACTAAAATAATTTTAAATTAACTAAAATAATCAATATATCATCTATTCTACTGCGGGATAAGAAAATGAATGATAACCATTAGATAATTCAATAATTTTAAAACTATTTATAATATTTTTGATAAAAAACGAAGCAGTGTAGCGTGACTTCCCTTCGAAAATTTGATAAAATCATTAAACTTACTGATAACTTATATTATTGTGAAAGATATTATTAGCTTATTTAATGCATAATGACTTGGTGTAATATATTCAATATGAATCAATATTTCAACATGACATAACTAAAATTATTATTATAATTTAATTAAGCAATATAAATCCCAATTATTTTCCGCCACTACTGCATGAATCATCGCTCTGATTTTAGGGGAAAGAAGATCCGTTAAAAATTTGATTTACGGATGGATTGTTTGTATTTTGTATTGGTAGTAATCTACCAACACGGATCGTATTAATTCTAATTCTATGTCTTTCTCGACGATTATTTCGCCTTCGAATAACAAGACTAGTGTAAAATGGATCGTTTGAAGGAATACGTTCAATAGTTCCAGTAAAATTGGATATATGAGCATAATCAGATTCATTCATTGTGAAAATTGTTTTTTTTTTTTCAAGATTTTCTAATCTTAATTAAATTATTTTAAAAAATTTTTTTTTTTTTAAAGTTACAAATCTTTTTTTTAAAAAAAGTTAGACTATAACTTATACAAAGAAGTCTCTTATACACATCTAGATGTGTATA